ATTGAAGCCACTTTCGTTATATTTGTACTTGGATGGATGGCTCAGCTACAAAAGCTGGCCGGGTAACTACTAAAGGTGTTAGCATTTCTGTTTCGTCAGTTTTGTGTCTTTGTGAGTGATAAGCTTTTGGTGGCATTCCAGATGTTTTTGGGCTTCCATATCTATTCAGTCGAAGGCTCATGATGTCAGTTATAATTCTGGAGTTCAGTCTTTACAGAGCAGATTGTAATGTCAGGATGGCTCTTTTAACACTATTAGTAAAAATATATATTTCTAAAGCAAAATATCCAGTCTCTCGTATACAGGAAAATAGTAGTGGTGATGATGATTGCACACTTCTCAGTTTTGAGTAATGGGAAAATCCAGAAGCTGTACTGCTGAGTTCCTTTTTTTAAAATAAGAGGACAACTAGTGATTTACAGTAAAGTATTTGTTTGAATTAGAAAGGATTAAAATAAGTTAGAGGCAGTCTCTGTAGCTACTCCCTAGAGAGAAACTTATACAGTTCCTGCAGTCACCACCCAAGTTGTATCTTTGGTTTCAGTTAACTTTGCCAAAAACTCTGATCTGTCTCTCTGTCTGATTTACTTAATTTCAGACTGCAGATTGTTTTTTGCTATTTCTGTTCTCAAATTTTTATCCTTATCACATTTCCAAAGCCAGAGAGAGATTTCCAGCTATAAAGTACTATCTACTGCATTTAGCTTCTGTTGATGAAACAAGTGATGATCTTGTCGAGCAAGCAATCACCTTAACAGTTTGTTGAACTTGAACGTGTATTTTATCATTACAGTGGTGCCCCTCTTGATGATTACCCACTTCATGACAAAATCACTTCATGATGAGGTTTTTGCGATCGCAAAACAATTCAAAGGGGAAAATCTGTTTTACGACGAACGGTTCCCTGCTTCGGGAGCTGATTCTTCGCATTACGCCGATCAAAAACAGCTGATCGTCTGGATTCAAAATGGCCGCATGCTGTTTTCTGGACCTATTTCTGGAAGACAGCGACCGAAAATGGCTTCCCCTGTGGAGGATGTTCGCTGGACGATGAGATATTTTGCCCATTGGAACGCATTGAACCGGTTTTCAATGCATTTCATTGGGTTTTTTTCTGTCGCTTGATGATATCGCTTAACAGCAATTTTAATGGAACAAATTATCGTCTTCAAGCGGGGCACCACTGTACTGTATATGGGAAGAAATAATTTTTCTGCTATTTCTATGATTTCCTTTAAATATTCTTGTAATGCCTACCAGTGCTTTTTTGTTTGGTATATTTATATCCCTTTGACATCCAAAGCGGAGTGAAACAGGGCTGTGTCCTCGTGCTAACCCTGTTTGGGATCTTGTTTACTGTCATGCTGAAGCGTGCCTTTGGAACTGCAGCAGAAGTTGTCTATCTCCAGACCAGATCAGATGGAAAGCTCCTTAGTCTCTCTAGATTGAGAGCAAAGACCAAAGTCCAACTGAAATGCATGAGGGATTTCCTCTTGGCCGATGATGTATCCATTATTGCCCACTCTGCTGAAGACCTCCAACAACTCATGAATCGTTTTAGCAAGGTCTGCCAAGACTTTGGACTAACAATCAGCCTGAAGAAAAGACAAGTCATGGGCCAGGGTGTGGACTCACCTTCCTCTATTACCATCTCCATGCAAGAATTGGAGGTTGTTTATGACTCTGTGTACGTTGGCTCAACGATCTCTGACACTCTCTCCCTAGATGTCGAGCTGGATAAATGCATTGACAAAGCAGCTACCATGTTCTCTAGACTCACAAAGAGAGTATGGATTAATAAGAAGCTGATGGCATACACCAAGAGCCAGGTCTTTAGAGCCTGTGTCCTGAGCACACTCCTGTATTGTGGTGAGTCCTGGACTCTTTGTGCATGGCAGGAGAGGAACCTGAACACATTCCATATGCGTTGTCTCTGATGCATCTTTGGTATCACCTGGCAGGACAAAGTTCCAAATAGAATATTACTAGAATGAGCTGGAATTTTTATCATGTATACATTACTGAAACAGCGACGTCTATGGTGGCTTTGGCATGTTGTGAGAATGGCTGATGTTCGGATTCCAAAAGATCTCCTGTATGGAGAATTAGTGCAGGGAAATCACCCCAAAGAGAGACTACAGCTGCGATACAAGGATATCTTCAAGCGGGATCTGAAGGCCTTAAGAATGGACCTCAACAGATGGGAAACCCTGACATCTGAGCATTCAGCCTGGAAGCAGGCTGTGCATCATGGCCTCTCCCAATTTGAAGAGACCCTTGTCCAGCAGGCCGAGGGAAAGAGGCAGTCCCGGAAGCAGCAAAATCAGAGAGCTGGACAGGGGACAGATTGTACTGTATTTGTCTTCAGTGTAGAAGGGATTGTCACTCTCGAATTGGCCTTCTCAGCCACACTAGATGCTGTTCCAAGTCATACAGAGCCCGTTACCACAGTCTCTCGAGACTGAAGGATACCTAATCTAAAATCTAATTTATATTGAAAGTGAAATGGAAGCTGTGTGCTGGAAACTATTTATTATAACGTACACTCTTCTACTTTGGCTGGGTAGCAGAAATTATTACACAAGTACAGTATCATGATCTTTGATGTAGTGATTGCGTAACTACTGAAGATCTCACACTGTGGCACTATAGTGGGTTGATCTTCTGATGTCAGCAAATACCCACTATTGATTGCAAAATACAGCATGATACGAATTGCTTGACATATACAGTGAGTATCAATGGGATATGGTAGCAACAGGACCAGCTGTAAGAGTCCTGCTGTAAGAGTGGTTATCTGGTAGGTTATATAAGACACAATGAACATGTGATCCACATATTGCTGATGAACTATTACTTCTCATGATGATTGGCCATGTTGGTGGTTCTGTGGGAAATTGTAGTCCAAGGAAAGCTGAGTTAAGTAAAAGGTCATGTTTGCAATTCAGCCAGTGAGCTTAATGTCTGGCTAGGAATTTGAACCCAGGTCTCCCAGGCTGAAGTCAACATATCACTGTGATACGTTCGTCTTTTAAAACAGCTGAAAATTACTTTCAGGTTATTAGCCAAAACTTTGTTGCTTAGTGTAATAAATTGGGCTAGAGTGGGCCCACGAAGTCAGTAGGAATTTAGTGCTCTATAAGTTCAAATGATTCAAGTGGGCCTACTCTAACTATGACTTCTTATTCTAAAGTGAGTTGCAGTTAGAGTCGGCTCATTTAAATAAGTAATATGGAGCAGCTGACTCACTAAATCCCCACTGATTTAGTGATTCTTCTCTAGTGCAAATTGCTACACTAGGCAACAGAATTTGGGCCATTGTGTAATATCTGAAATAGAGGAGGGTTGAATGAAAGTTCTTGTCATAATATATCACCCTCTAAAATGTCTCAGTATCCGCCCCCCAGCTAACATGGTCATGTTTATGACCTGGGGGATGGGCATGAATGAAATATGAACCAGGGATAAAGCACTAACTTCACATACTGTTCAAACAGGTGTCATGAAGACTGCATCTGTTTGTCTCATTCTGCATGTCTTGTCTCAGGTTTCTAGTACGATTGTCTGAGGAAGAGATCCCTCCAGAAGGGAACTATCCCCCTATGGATTATTTCATGTTCATATAAAATTATTCACAAGAGTCTTCTGTTGCACCTAACAACAATTCAGTGTTATTTAGAAATTTAGATGTTAGTATCCTTATCCAATTGCAGACGTACTGTATTTAGTTATTTAACATTGGGTTGTATGCTAAATAATATAAACAAGTGTGGTGGTTTCTTTCATTTTGCGCTCGCTCAACAAAAAAGACAAAAAATTGCCTTTCTCTGGCATGATACTGTCTGTCTTTAAGATAAGTAATATGCCTTTGCTTCAAATTATTATTATTATTATTATTATTATCATTATC